TGCTGCTGCTGCTGCTGCTGCTACTACTACTACTTCTACTACTACTACTACTACTACGACGACTACGACTACGACTACGACTACTACTACTACTACTACTACTACTACTACTACTACTACTACTACTATAATACACGTGCAATGGACATATACATGTATTGACTATACACTAACTGATATGTGTAAGAGTAGTAATGGCAATAATGACGCAAACAACAGTACTACTGCAGAGCCTACGGCTATGGGATGCTGCGCATCGGCTGGCTTGCAAGAATTCTTGTGAACATGTGTATGGAGCCACCACAATGGCCGAAGGATATTCCCGGTGCCTTGTGCGGCAGCTGCAGCATGTCGTCATTGATGACAGCAACCTGGATCCGATCTGGTGGCTAACACAAGCAGAGAAGGAACCAGCGAAATCCTCCCGTCCAAATCTACACCCTGGTGTGAGGCGACTGGAAGAAAGCTAGTAACTGCTCCTTTTCCACCATGCATGACCAGGATCCGGGCTTTCCGCCGCAGAAGAGCGGTGGGCAGCTCATGGTACATCCTTGGGTGCCAGCGTAGGCATTGGAAAATACAAGAACTCAACTACAGCAGCCACCAATCTTCACCAGTGCGTTAAGTCCGGCAATCAAGTTTGGAGACTAACAAATCAATCAGAATCGAAACAGTCCGAACGCTGATCAACCGGCTTGGCAATACACTCCAGGCCTGCATAAATGCAGAAAAGCAACGTGTTGATGCACCTGGAGAAACGCGTTATCATTTCATGAGTTGCGGTCGCCTTTTGGAGCCTGTAAAGCAACAAAGATGTTGTACATGATCACGGGGTACATAGGATATCAAGATCTTGAGAAGCTTCACATACACTCAGAAGCTTGAGGGGCCTCAAGCCTCTTTCCATAAGGGTTGGTTGCGAAGACACAATCACATGGCCATTTCTTAACATAGGGTCAGCCAAGAGCTCCGACAAAGACTCGGGATCAAATTTTGTTGGGCCCCTTCACGTTAGAGGATCATTGGAAAAACTTCTAGTCTGAATGATGTGACCCTAGAGCATACGCCCGAACGCTTGACCATAAACCAGGAACCCTTAAGCGTACCTGGATGGTTACAGGTCTAGGGCTTGGGGTTGAGCGTCAGATTCTTGAAAGAGGATTGGCTCGTGCACTGTTCATGGCACGGTGCTCTCCACAAGGAGGGGACATGCCAGGTGGGCATACTACAACATGTTTTTTCTGACCGCAATTGTAGGACACGATACGATATCACCTGCTTATAACGTGGTTTTTTCCCGACCTAGAGGTATGGTGCGTATCCAAGTTATCCTGAAAGATTTCCAGCCATTGCCAGTGCAGGAGTGCTACTATAGTGGTGCTACCACAGTAAAAAAACTGCGCCGAACCACAAGCTTACCAGATACCGTTGTTGGAACTGATCCAGAGAAATGGTACACGAGATGTCTGCAAAATGCAGGACAAGCACCCTGCTACCTCCCCTGTGGTCCCTAGCCTGTACATCTACCACGGGTCCTTCATCAAACTCTTCAGCACTTTGAGAAACCCTGCATCAGTCACCTGGCATGGTTCCACCGCTCCACGCAATGCCGTGCCACGTCGCGCCTCAGGTTCTGGGCTTCACAGTTCCATGTTTTCAGGAGTTTGCAGTTTGGAGTTCAGGCTCAGGGAGTTGAAAGGACCCAACCCTAGACCGCGCTGACACCTGACTTTAAGGGTTGCAGGCTCACTTCTCACAGTAATGCTGAAGTTGGGCAGCTGAATCGACATCTCAAAAGCGAATGTCACATGCTGCACCAGTGGCTAGGGCACCTGCGCTGGCCTGCCAATCATCTCGCAGGCAATATCCTGCAAAGCTCGCAGATGCTGGATTCACTTGTATTATCCAAATCCTCTGGAATGGATGCTTATGATCCTTCACAAAAGCCAAATCCAGCTTGCAGCGAGGAGTGCTTTTCCGAACCATTGTTTTCTCACCATATTCAGCAATTCTTCAACGAATGTCTGCCAACTACGCCGCTACGCCTGTCAATATATCATATTCCTCATACTGTGATGAGTACTTCTGAACAAAGGCTGGTAATTCTTGAAACCCTGTTTGAGAAGGGACGACACCACTATGGACAAATCGCGAAAATTTGGGTCTCCTTTGTTGAGATCGAAAATATCAAGCGCGGTGCTTTGGAAAAAGGAACATACGAAGTACATCAGGTCGAGGAATACTACTCGCAAACCTCTGCAATCCCTAAGTTGAATTACTAAGCGTCACCCTGGACAGGACCCGTAACCCTAAAACCCTCAAGGCCCAAGCCAAGTCCTAATCCATAGGCCCTCAACCCCACAGCCACCCCACATCCAACAGCCTAATTAATCCCTACACCTACACCCTAAACCAGTACTTAAAAAAAAACAAAGTACATTCTCCCAAGCCGAAACCCTGTTCGAATCAACCCTAAAGAGCGCGCGTGGAGGAAACGGCATGCCCATGTCGTGCCTGCCAAGGGAGGCGTGCCTGCCGCGTGCGATCCAGCAGGTCCGAGTGGAGCCGGCCATCGATGACATCCTGGCAAGTTTGAGGGCTTAGGCTTGAAAATTAGGGTTTACGTTTTAGGCTTTAGGATTTAGGGGAAATGGAAAGTGGCAGAGAATCCGTGCAGAGCAAGTAGCCTAGCCAAACACCCTGTGCAGCAGGTCCTTGATTCTTGGGTTGTAGTAGTCCTGGCCCTTCCAGACATCCGCACCAGAGTCGGAGATTCGATGCCTCCAGTCCTCAGTTCCAGTGGAGTCCGGAGTTCTTCTCTGCAACTTGGATGTCACAATACTCACTCCGAAGATGGCAATTGATTGTAGCATGTTCACCTGCAGCCAATGATGCATGCTACTGCTGATGGTACAGTAGCGCTGGCCTGATGCGCAGAAGCTGAGACCCAAGCATCATAACGCCCGATGCACAGATCGAGTCCTGCACAAAGGGTAATTTGAGGAACGCAGGGTAATGCAGGGCTGTAGACTGATGATTAGGCGATGATGGTTTCACCCATGAGAGACGTGCTAGTTATTGCTCTGAAAAAATGCCGTAGAACTGACAGGAGGCTTCAGTCTTCTGCAAGAATCCTCCGACGATGGCGAGCTGCTGATCAACGACGACGACCTGAAACCAGCTGGCTGAATTTCAGAGTCCTTGCACACGAGCATGGCATAGTATTCAGTGAAAGACATGTACAAAGAGGTACTCCTTGTATGGATCATACTGTTGTCTTTCCCATTCGATTTTCCACTCGATTGTCCCTTATTGTGTCTAGTCAAGCCTGCATCCTTCCTCACGATAGGATGCTTGGAACATAGCCATCTCAGTCTGCCACCTTCTCGTGGTGTGTCCATAGCAGGTTGCTGTCAAATCTGCTCCTTCGTTGCACACACTTTACCTCTCTGCAGTTACTCAGCCTCTGTCAAACCCCCACGATATCCTGTGGCGGACAACAAAGATGTTCTTGTGCTGAAGCTGCCCCTCAGCCTCATATCCAAGACTGCAGATCATGTTGCTATTTCAATGACCAGTCTCGCGATGGCGACGCAACAATCCCGAACACCTTTGCCAGTTGCTGTAATGCTCATGATGAATTCCTAACGATCATAATCATCAACTATGCTGGCGCCTTCGGACTCTACAGCATGGGAGACGCGAGCAGGCCACATGTCTTGGCTGATTCCTATGCCGCAGCATAGCTTGCAAGGCAGGGACGTAGCTTGAATCGTTCGGAACGATCTTCCCTGTCTCCTGGTACCTCAACACCAACATTCTGCAAAAAGACATGGGAGTCATTCTTTAACGGTTGAAGACAATAGCAATATTGATCAATGAAGCGTTGCTTGTCCAACATGCCCAACAGGCATACAGGCATACCCAAAATTTTGGGATGCTTCCACGAAGATCACACGAAAGTTAAGCATTGATTGGCCTGGGATGTTTCCAGAAACCAGGGGTTCCTTTGTGGCAATCCTATCTGCAAGGACTACAAAATTGCGGGCTATCCGAACTTGGAAACCCCATCTAGGTCTGGCACAGTAGCACGTAGACCCGAACACCGCGGTCTGCCACGTGTTTGAGCAGAGTCTGAACCTCTGCGGACTCTGGCTGCTCTTTCTGTCAAGACTACTTACTATCATGAGATATAACCTATAAGCAGGCTATAGTTATGCAACCGGTGCAAATATGATGCTGGCCAGTGGCTTATCGCAGGAAGAAAGGAACGGAACCCGATTGTAAATGGGATCCCTCGTTCTCTAAAACCCTAAGCAATCATCACCTATAGATACATATGAACATTTTCTATGTTTCTGCGAATACATTTTGCATGTATATCCCTTTGTGACCTGCATAACCCTCTTCAAGGGACTCGCCATTTATGTGTGTGTGTATGTCATATCCATGTATGTACGTATGTATGTATGTATGTATGTACGTACGTATGTATGTATGTATGTACGTACATGCATGCATGCATGCATGCATTCACAAATAAACACATAAATACATACATACATACATACATACATACCTACATACATACATACATACATACATACATATACATATACATACACATACACGTACACATACACATATACATATACATTTACATTTACATTTACATTTACATATACATATACATTTACATATACATATACATATAGATATAAGTATATGCATACATATAGAGCATATTTACATATAGACACTCTGGCACACATATATCTCCCCTGACAGCACGCGCCTTTGAATCTGGCAGGCCCGGCAAAGATTCACCTCACGGGCAAAATGGAGATGCAAAAGCCGGACTCATCTCTGTCACTTTGACGTTCATGGTCCTTCGAGCTCGGAAGTACCCTTAGCAACATATTTTGAGGTCAAAGGTTGTTTCTGGTGTTTGGGAGCTCTAGGTCTACGGTTGCTGTACAGCTGGTGTACCTCGCGATACAAGGATTTGAAGTTCTGGAGGATTTGGGAAGTCAAAGCAGTGGACTGATCTAACCTTGGCTTCCTGAGGAGCAGACCTTCCCGCAGCAGCTCGATGTGAGGGCTCAAGAAAAAGCTAAGAATGAAGATCTCGTGCTTGGCAAGCAGGATGGCCTTGCAATCTCTACGTAGCGTCCCGCAACAAACTGGGAAGCCCAGATAAACCCTTTTCAAAAGAAAAGCACTTTTGGGAGGGTCGGGCGCCAGAAAAGGAAGGCAGGGCTCCAGAAAAGGGGCACCCGTGTAAGAACCGTCCAGGAACAATTCAAGCTAACCGAACCGGGCAGTCACTGTGAGCACCGACTCCATGAACTCCTGAACCCGAAATGCTCCAAACGCGTACCAATCCAGAAAACCCTCTTAAACCCTAAACACCCTAAGCTCTGCCTCCGCAATGGCCCTGAAGATGGCACGGCCGTTCAGGGCATAGCGGCAGAGGCTTCTGCGGAGCAGATGCCGATCGCCAGCCTCTTACTTGATTTTGTCGTTGTGTATTGTGATAGTACTGCACCGCAAATCACAATAACAGTGCGCGTCTCATGTATGGTCTCTCCTAAATGGACACCCTTCATATACATACCCCCAATACCATAATGAAAAGCCCTAGCTCCTGCCCGCTGCAAGCTCTTTATGATGCCCTGTACCGGCTGAGGCACCTTCGAAGCCGCAGGGAGCCGCAGCGGTGCAAAGGAGCCATATCTCCTGCAATCCGTTTGGAATAGGCGGGTACCGGCGGTGTTTCCTTGCTTTTCCCAAGGTGACGGGAAAGCACGCCCGCGGAACCACGCCAGGTGCACTGGGGCATGTGCCGTGTATGCGCCGGGTATGCGCCGGGTGTGCCGGGTGTGCGGCGGGTACGCCGGGTATTCGCCAAATAGACAGGGGCATGCACCGGGTGCGCCGGATCGGCGGATTCCTTCAAAAGCACTATGCCCAAAAGGCTCGGGCCCCCAGGCTCTGCATGGCTTTACTTCCAGCCTTGCAGCACATGAACGGCACTAAATATCGATCATAAAATGTTTGCTTTAATCGCGCTGTTTTTTGCGCAGTCAATCGCAATGCTCTTGTTTTTCCCATCGCAGAATTCCCATTGTTTCAATCGAAACATTCTTTTGAATCGCAAAATGTCCACCTGCTCTGCAGTCTGCTAGACTTTTCCTGGGTTTGATTGAAAATGGTTTGCCCTAGACATCGTGGACCCAACACAAACTTGCAACATATATCTGAACAGCCAATATTCTTTCAATTACAAACATGACCAATACAGGAAGCAACCATGACGCACTCGGGCGTACCCGAACATACTCGGGCATACTGAGGCGTACCCGGACGTACTCGGGCGTATTTGGTCGTACCCAGGCATACCCAGGCGTACTCGGGCGTACCTGGGTGTACCCGCGCCTACTCGGGCGCACTCGGGCGTACTCGGGTACTCGGGCGTACTCGGGCGTACTCAGGCCTACTCGGGCCTACTCACTACTCGGATGTAACCTCTTGCAGTCGCCGCACGCGGCCGCAATGATTTTTCCAGCTGAATGTGGCTGAGACAAGTGAGCGGCGCAACAAGGCCCCTGCTGCTCTCTAGTTCTGGTGGACAGCTGTGCTGTAACCTCAACCCAGCAAAGCATACTACTCTCAAGGCTACCAAATTTCGCAGTAAGGCGCCGTACCATTGCAGCTGTTAGGGCTCCAGGCTTAGTTACCATGATATGGCGACATGGAGAATCAAATGGACAAGAGATTGGAACATTAAATGAAAACTGGGCTTAATCGCTGCTTTGCGACATATCCAGCGCTAAGGCGGTGGCCGTGATGGCATTACACCATCCCTGCGCGCTGCTGTGCCTCCATTTGGCATGCTTGGGCTGGGTCAATCGGCTGACTGAATTTTGCATTTAACCCATCTAGGATGCATGAATGGACTAATGGCCAGTGCAAGACTAAGCTTCTTCGAAGCTCTCCCTGAGGCCGACCAGCTCACTCAACAAACCCAGCTGTGTGTCATCACGTAAGGGCATAGGGCCTCAAAGGCGCACAATACCCAAATCATCAGATACAATCAACAACATTATTCCCATGGTCCCTCGGCACCTACGTGGGCCATCCCCGAAGGAGAGTTCGAGAACCCAGGAGGCGCCCTTCACCAACACATGGTCCTGTACATGGCTCGGCTCTCGTCCAGAAGTTCTCTGAAGCTTCATGCTTGGTACGTGACAAGAAAAAGGCAACTGGACCCCAAATTTCCGGCACAAAACAGCGGCAACCATGCTTTGCTTACATTTGCTTACGATCCACACTGGCACGGTCCGATTTCATCCAGTACATGTGCTACCGAAGGGCTTGCAGATCGAATCGAAAGAGGGTGATAGGGCTCATATGGAAAAGCACAACCGCTGTGCAAATTGAACGGAACGTTGCTCGACAGCACTACAGGATGATAGCGGCGTTATCTCCTGAAGCTTTAGGGTACGGCGAGAGTCTTAAACCGAAATTGCATCGAGAAACGCAGAACCCTCACAATGGCGCACCCGTTTGCACAAAACCGGCTGCAGTGAATACAGGCTACGTCTCCTCTTGGCAGATACAAGGACAGGTGCGGCCAGTCCTCTTCGTCCCGGAAGAGGGCCTTCTTTCAGGACACAAGCATGATTTCCCTTTAAGCAGCAGTGGCACTGGCAGTAGGAGCCAGCCACGTTGCTAACAGCTCAGGGAGAGCAGCTGCCCAACAGATGAAGTACGAGTACTTCTTTTGCTAAAGTATGCCCAAAATGAGGATATGATCCTGCCCTACTCTCTGTGTTGGAAATTCTGGTGTCCACGAGCTGAGAACATGGCAAAGCTGGTGTCGAAGAAAAGCATGTCCGTCGGGTCGGCATCCTGCGGCCACCAATGCGGCATGGAGTGCAACGATCGCTGCACTTGCTGGCCCTCGACATAGTCTTTGTTTGCCCGCAATGGTGAAACGATTCAATTTGGATTCCAGGAGATTGCAAGAAAAGCATCCCAAGCCCGTCCATGAGCGAGGAGAAGAGTGCGATCCCATCCTTCCGAAGCACGAGCCAGCGTTCCTGGCGCCAGACAGGCCAAACTGAAGCAGGGTCGAGGGGCTTTCGGGGCTGTCTAGAGTCTAGATTCGCAAACCAGGCGGTCCTGGAGACCCCTCCTGCGCGCCAGCTCCAGGCGGAAATCGCAGCGGAGGCCTCATGCTGGGAATGCCATGAGACTGCAGGATCGCTCCACCATTGCAATGATGGTCAAGACTATTATTATCTGCACTTTTGTTCTTTCTCTACTAATCAATGTCGATTCTGTCCGTGGCGCATCATCCAACACTCTACATCTTCACAACCCTTTCGTACTCTAAAGCCAAAATCATGAACCCAAAACCACCAAGCCTGAACCCTACACCTTATAGTCCCCCTTAAGTAGAAAGAATACGGCTTTGGGTATATAATAATCAGATCCCCATCTACCCCATATTCTATCTACTTAAGGGAAACTATAAGATGCCCTGGGTAGCCCCGAGCTCTGCACAGAAGCAGGAGCATCGCTGCCGCCTGCGGTTCATGAAGTAGTCCTGGGCGGCGCCGGCCCCTATCGACATAGACCCCTGCACTATGACTTCTCTGATTCATGCCGTACTTCTGCAGTAGAGGAGGAAGAACATTCATGGTGAGAATGATAGAAATACAAGATTTTTAGAAGGGCTTGGTAGTTGCGGTGACGGTGGCAGGTCCAGGATGTGGAGGTGGGAGGGAGGTGGGGCTGGTGGTTCAGGATCACTTTCGCAACAACCCCCCTCCAGCGGCAGCCTGATCCTAATGTATAGGAGATGGGCTTTGAGTTAGAGCCGCTCAAGCCATAGTCACTACTGTGATAGCATTACTCTTCTTGTTGATTTCACTTGCAGTACTTCTCCTGCCAAAGCCATGCCCATGTACCCCACAACCCAGTACTAGTGTGTAATGCGCCCAGTAGAAATTCCAGCAATAGTAACAAGATTGCAGTGGCAGCAAGCGATGGTGGCAGGGCGGGACTCGCACTGACGGTGGCCCTTTGCTCAGTCTTTGTTTGCTCGTGATCGAAGCAGGACTTATGTATTGATGAGGGTCCCAAGGCCGTGCTTTCTGCAAAAATTGTGGCCTGACTCACCAACACGGGTCAGCAGGGCCCGAAGGGCAACATTTGAGATCTAGGACCTTATAGAATTGGTGGGCGAGGCTCTCATTATATGCTGCAGGAGGACCTCTATAAAAAGATTCTTTCGGGCCTGGCTTTCAAGAGGTGGGAGCTGAATTGTCTTGACGTTGCGCTGTTCTTCAAACAAGAGTTGTACACAACCAGTGTGTGGGTCCCTTCATTAGGGCTTACAGAAGGGCTATGCTGGTTGGTGTATACACCGCGAACGCAATTAGGAGAAATATCCACAGACAGCCTAGCCGGAAGCAGCCTGACCTGCTTTCCCACTGATTGCTGCTGCATTTGCTGCTGCTGCTTCTGTTGCCATCCGTCACCTTATGGTGCACGTTGTAGCATCTGCTCCCTTATCGACACATCCCTGAATGAAACTACTGGATGCTAGAAAAAGCATCTCTGGATGAGTCTGCTGTATGCCGACAGAGAAGGGTCCGCTTGATGAATTCTTGTTGAAGGAAAAGTACACTTGTGGGGTCTGTTCGTTTTACGAAACTACTATCTCTGTCTCCACGGTTTCCACCTACCGGGGCTCCTCAGTCGTCTCGTGTCGCCGGACAAAGCAGCGCCCCTCCTGTGCAGGTTCAGGAGACCAGCTGCTAAGTTGCCCAGCCCACGGAAAGTAAACCTCTTCGCAAAACGGTTCAAAGTTACTTGGTCCGCTTCCAAGGAGGGAGTCATGGAGCTCAAATGTCCAAATCTCTCAACCCCAAAGCTTTCAAAGCGTGCTGGAACCAGTACTAATTACTGGTTACTGTTACTACTTTCGCTTCTTGCTACTAACAAACTAGTACTACTTTTGCTTTGATCGTTAAAGTTATTACCATCATTGCCAGCCAGAAAGCCTGAGGTTGGCGGGAACCGCAAGAGGTTCCGGAAGTGTTGTGGGAGGGTAGCTCTGATCAAGATCCCTACTTTCAGGGTCAGGGGAACTTCGTAGGGAGGAATGGGTAAGGAAATCAAAACTCGTGTACAATGGAATCTAGTTTTTACGGTGTATGTTCAAGGGATTTGGTGGAAACTGCTGTGTTGAAGAATTGCCTTGTGAGTCTCGGAGGAGTTGAAGTAGGTGGCCATGCCTCGGAAGAACTTCACTATTGCAACGGCATAATGACGCAATGCGCACAACATGTGTAACAGCTAGATTAGGGTAATGCGGGGGTACCCTTGCAGCTAATACTGCAACAAGAAACACAGAATTAGCGCTGGCTTCTTCTTAAATAGCCCAAGCAGCCAAACTGTGAACAGTGAGCCCGGACCCTCTATACCCTGGACATGTGGCCACTAAGCCAGGCTGCCCAAGGACAGGAAGTTACAAATGTCCAGGTTGCCCAGGCAGTCTTTGCCTCGGCAAGAAGGCTCTTCTTGCTGGTTACTGGTGGTCAGTACGGAATGCAGTGATGAGTTCTAGGGACTGTTGTAGGGTTTTGCATACGGGCCACCATCGATGCAACTTTCGTGGCTATGTGTGCTGTACGTAAGTATTGTTCCCAAGCCTGAGGGTAGCCGGTTTTGGGGTGCTGACGCTGTCACATCAAACGCAAGATTTGGAAATGCTGATTGTCATCATGGCAGTACAAGATTCTCGCCACGAAGCAGCAGCTTTAGCTGCTCCCGCACCTTCTCGGTCTCAGCCTGCAATATTGCAATTTGGGCTGTTCCCTACCTGGAACTACTGTGAATCCTTGCATAGGGCCAGTTTCCATTTCATGTTCCATGTCTTTTCTGTTCGATTCTCCATTCATAGAGCAAAAATCCCCAAAACCGAAACTTCGCATGATCCCCATATATGCCCTACATTACCCTCTACGGCCAAAAAACGTACGTAGCAAAAACAAGGATCCTGCCTTCCGCTCTAGGCTCAAGATGGCCTGTCATAAAGGCAGGCTTCAAAGGTTGAGGCCTGAGTGGTCTAAGGGCTTTGCGTTTAGGGTTCACTGTTGAGTGGCTTTTGTGCTTCAGAGGTTACAGCTTTGGGGGTTTTAAGGTTAAAGGTTCACAGATGAAATAGTTTAGGGCTTGCGTGTTTTAGGTTTTTGTGGGTGTAAGTCCACAGTTTGGAGTTTACGGCGTTAGTGTTTTAGAGCTTTGGGCATGGGAGGTTTTAGGGTTTGGGGTACGGTACACAATTTCAGGGCTCAGGGCTGTCGTGTTTGGTGGGTTTTGGGGTGTAGGTTTTAGGGTTTAGGGATCAGGGTTTTAATGTTTTAGAATTTTGGGCTTTGGGGGTTTTAGAGTTTAAGGTTTAAGTTTAGGGTTTGTCGCTTCAAGTTAAGTGTTTTCGTGTTTCTGCGGTTTGGGGTTTGGGATTCCCAAGTTAAAGCTTCATGTGTCAGTGGTTTAGGGCTTTGGCTTTAGGGTTTAGGGTTTTTGCATTGTGGAGAGTAGAGGTTTACGGATGGGATTTCATACTTGAAGGTTTAGGGTTTTCATGCTTTAGAACTAAGGTTTGAAGGTTTAGGATTTCGGTTTCACGGTTTAAGGTTAGGGCTTCAGTGTTTCAGGGGTCCGAGGGTCTAGGATTCACGGTTTAAGGCTTACAGTTTTAGTTGATCTCCATGCATGTCATCCTTTGCTGCCTTGGCCGGGAGGAAGGAGACCTCTGTCAAGCCAGCCATCCTGGGATCTAGGAGGGCTGCCTTGGAAAATATACGCATAAATATGTGTGTAAATGGGTTATAGAGATATACGAGTATATATACACATGTTTGTACGGACTATATACAGAAATGAGGGTCGATGAAAGCTGGCTTGTCTCCGTCTTATATCGGACTTTGGCCAGCTTCAGGTTTTTCAGGGGAGTTAGGGATTTAGGTATTAAGGAATTTCAGCCTTCGCGTTTATGGCTTGGGGGTTTGGGGATTTGGGGCTCAGGGTTCACAGTTTGGGGTTTGGCTACTCTTATCTTAGGGCGTTCAGGCTTCAGTGATGCTTGGGATGTCAGGCATGTTCGTTGAATACTTCTGAAACTTGAGGGCTAGGTTGAGGCCAACCAAAGCTAGCCAGGTCTTCAGCACTCCAGGTCTTCCGCACTTGAGTACAGCGGGAGGAGTGAAGGTTAATGCGATCAAGTAAAATGACGACATGCGCACAGTGACTGCGTGAGAGTAGTGGACACCACAAAGGAGAGAGGTTTGGTGCAACCATTCAAGAGTATAGTGAAGACTGCACATGGATTAGGGAGGCATGAAGCAAAAATCAAGAATACCACATGGAAGGGTGTGAGCACTACAGAAGGAGGAGGACTCGATGCGATCACACAGCATGAGGTTGATAGCACCATGACCTTCCAGAGGTAGTGAATATTGCACAGAGAGCTAGGAGGTTTCATGCGAACACCAGCAAGATGAAATGCGAAGCATGAGCTTGCAAGGGTAACATGGTAGCAAACAACGCGGAGGAGTTAGGAGATTTGATGATACCATCAAACATGATGTTGTTTCTACCATGACCACACAACGGTTGTAAACACGACGGCACACGAAGGAGGTTCGATGCAATCACTCAGGGAGCAGGTGCTCGTAGCGCGACAACGCAAAGGTAGTAAACACTAGAGACGGAATAGGTGGGATGAATGCAGCAACTCGCATATTGTAACCTGCAAGATGACGGCGCGACGGTAGGAAACACTACAGATGCAGTGCGGAAGGATTGACGCAATAAGCAAGAAGATACAATTTGATTCATGAGCCTAGACGGGTGATGAACACTGAGGAGGCAGTCGGGAGGTTTGGTTTGATACAACCAGCCTGATGCTCCCGGTAACATCTCCATGCTAGGGCAGTGAACACTACAGAGAGAAGCAGGGAAGTTCGAAGCAACTCGACACCCCTGTACGATGTTGTTTGTGGCAGCAACCGCCCACCATGTGCCGACTCGTACCATTGCCACAGACGTCGTGAACGGAGGGAAGAAGGAGGCTTGATGCAACCACGCCAACAGAAGAAGTGGCGGGTCGATGCGACCATGGCAGAATGCTCTGTGTACCATGAGCATGCAATGGCCGCGAACACTACAAGGGGAGTAGGATGGCTGTATGCAAACCGAAAGCAGGATGCTACTCATAAGACGGGATGCGACAAGAAAGCATGACCATACAAGGGTACGTATCACTACAGGAGTCGCAGGGTTTCATGCAACCACGAGAGGATTGGGATGCTTCCTGCAACAATCCAGCATGATGTTATTTGAAATATGACCGCACAAGGGTAATCAATACTACCAAAGGAGCATCGAGGCTTGCTGCAACCCACAAGCATGAAGTTGCCTGTACCATAACCACCAAAGGTACAAAGTACAAAGGGAGCAGGATAAGTTGACGAAACCACCCAGCATGAAGTTACTTGTACCCTTGCCAAACAGCCAACCAAGCATGATGCGTTTGATGCTGACCATGCACAGGCGCGCACCAAAGAGAAAAGGAGTAGGAGATTGAATGCCGCCACCAAATCTTGCGCCGTTCGTACCATGACCATGCATGGGTAGAGTAGTGAATACTACCGGAGTAGTGACGTTTCCATGAAGAATGATGTTGTTTGTACCATGACCACCCAACATGTACTACTTGAACCATTACAACACAAGAGTAGTGAACACCACTAACCGGATAGAGAGGCTTGATGCAAAGACCACTATAAGCCACTATAGATAATGTCTTTCCTCACCTTGCAAAAACAGTGAACACTACTGATGGGAGCAAGGACCTGAATAAACCACTCTCACCATGTTATTCGCATCATGACTTGCCAGGGTATGGAACACTTCAGAGAGAGGAGGAGGTTACCAGGCCAATGTCGTTCGGGAAGATTGGATGCGACCTCCAGGAATGACATTAATCAGTACCCTCAGCATGCCAGAACAGCAAATACTTCAGAAAGATCAGGGAGGCTTGATGAAACAATCAAGCATGATAATCCTCGTATCAGGACCATGCAAGCGTACGGCAAACTACGAAAGAATGCGAAGGTTTGATGCAATGCCTGAGTAGTCCAGAAGAAATAGGGAAGGTTAAATAAATAGCCACCAGGCAGAAGGTTGCTTGCACCATGGCCAAGCAAATATAATGAGCAGAAGGATCGCGAGTAGGTCAAGGAAGGCGTGAGCGAACATATGAGTTTATGAATGGATCCCGAGCCCCCCCCAGTCGTGACACAATCAATTGCTCGCAGCGTTGCACAGGCAAGAAAAAGCACAAGCCAAAAAGTTGGCTTCCATGAAATCCAAGCAACCCCAAGACAATTGGTTTGGATGCGACCTCTAACTAGTCCCATGACTGCCATCACTATCAATGTCATGATAGCTTCACGCGTTCTCCTATACAACTTTTTCCACTACTACTTCTTCTTCTTCTACTACTACTACTACTACACGAATCGACTGGAGAGTCCAAGGCAATGTTCTCTTCCTTACCCCCTACAGTTTTCTGATTACCTCCACAGGATCCCTCAGGTCCTTTTGGCAGATATTCTTACATCTGTCAAGGCCCAAAGCTCTGACGAGAGGCAGGAGCGCGCCGAAGCTGCCTAGCGCAAAGGAGAAGAGGAGTGCCAGCAGCGGCTCAAGGGCCGGAAGCCTGGGTCTTCTTGAAGGATGAAAAAGGAGTGCAAGGTTTTGGAAAGAACTTTCTTCAAAGTTGGGAAGACTTTGAAACTGCTTAGGGAGTTGAGAAGGTGAAGGGGCTTCATGATTGGGGGTTGTTGGGCAATGGGGCTAGGGTTTTAGGATTTTGGCTTAGGGTCCAAGGTTTGCGGTGTAGGCCTGAGAGTCTATTAGATATAATTGGTTCTGTGTTGAGATTAGGAGTCTAGGGGCACGGGTTCGTGCTATTTGGGGTCTATGGCATTTCTGGAGGGTCACTCACTAGTTTGGAGTTGTTGGGGTGATTAGGGCTTTAGGGCGAGGACTTGCATTCACGGATTCGTGGAAACCAGCAATTGTCAGCTAGCTCCTGCAGAAAAAACACTGCCGAAGCGTACACAAACATCTTGCTACCCGATGTAAGTACTCGAAATCACCTCTGCAAATGGGCATCAAACAATCGAACCTACGATGCATGCGAACATAGCACACCGGTCTGAGGTAGGGACATGTCAGGCATATCTGCTATCATGGCAGCAAGCATCAGCGAATGGCGTACCTGTGGAGGCAGAAGAAACCCTCTCTCGAGCTCCAGCACTGTGGCAGGTCACAACATCAGCAGGCAACATATATAGTGTTTCAGTTGGACAGTTGTCAGAACTGGCAGCCCTGTCTGGAGCCCAATCTTGAGAAGAATCCCTTTGATCCCTACACAAGTCTCCTACAAATCCTTGCAAGCTCTTCATAAGCTACAAGTCCGTGGAAGAGACCCCTAGCCTGCTCACTGCGGAGTGCTGCTTTTAGCCGAAGCCCTGACCCTTGACTCCGAATCCTATACAGCATATCCTCGAAACCCCTATGTAACCTTATATAACCCTATAATATCCCACTGTATTTCCTGTACCTCCCTACTGAAGCATCTGTCTTCGTGAGGGGCTACCCATACTACGTCATCTAACCCCAGGGCTATTCTGAGGAGAAGCCCTGAACCCTCACGAAGCGACGGATCCTAGGCGGCGCACTGCTGGCCTGGCATGCAGGAGGGGTTGCGCATTTTCATAATGGCACAATAGATGAAAGAAGCCAGAAGGATGAAAGGAATAAGAAAAAACACATACCAGCAATGGAAATACTGCTAATGCTGGAATATCGCACTGGTAATATTACTGTTCACAAAGTTATTGATAGTGAAGATCGATAGTAATGTACCCTTTTATGGATCGCATGCAGGGGCATGGTCTGAAGACGAAATCAACGGTCCCATCCCACATCAAGGGCTACAAAGGGCTCTCTTCAAAAAACTCCCCAATGAGCTACTTTTCCATGGCTCACAGGAGCAACAGCTTTCATGAAGAGCTGTCGCATGTTTACCTGTAGTGTTGCTGATAGTAACACTGACACCGCCTGCGAAGACGATGAAACTAGAGTCCTCATTGGGCAATTATGAAAAGCCCAGAAAATTTGTCCTGGCTTGGAGTTGACATGTGACATGACCAACAAAGACCCAAGTAGGATAGTGCTCTGAATACTTTGCAGAATTCGGGAGCTATGATGGCCGGTGAACACAACTGCGACAGGCCTGAGGAGCTTGGCCAACAACCAGGACACCCAAAGCAGCAGAGACCAGAAAGCACAGGTCTTCACCTGTAGAGCATACAGAAGCTTGGATTTACTCCATTACTTGTGGGCCATGGGATGAATAGGACTCAGTTCAGATCTCACTCTACTTGCATGCCAAGCAAGTTCCACAAAGTTCTGATGGTGACTTGAGGATCCACGGTACAAACCCCCTCATCGTGAGAAAACATTTGGGAAGCCAAATTTCGAGACAAATCTGCTGAACTAGGCCCCGGGCAGCGCACAGGGCTATGCTTACCTGCAGAAGGTTGCAGGATATTCAGGTAGGTATTCATACCAGCAGCCGCAACAAGCTCACAGAGAGGCATGCAGCTGAAAAGACACCTACCTGGCAGGCGCAATCTCATGGCTTGTTGGAGACATCCCAGCTAGGCAGTTAGTCTTCGAACAACCTGCAGATCATTGGAAAATGCGATAGGTGAGCTTCATTGCTACCCATTGTATTCCTTGGACGAACTTCGTTCCCACCACAACCTACACCATCCATCCTTGCTGCAGTCGCACGCAGTGGTGATTCAACTTGCTAGTAAGTGAAGGCAGTAAATGCAGGTGTCCAACAAATCGGCCAGCCAAGCAGCAAAAGCCCAGACGCTGTCGGGGCCCGAAGACACCGCCTGTTCGCGCCGAACTTTGCAGTCTCATGAGGGCTCAAGGTATGCAATGGCCTATACATCCACAGCCTGCACTCAAGAGAAGTGAAAGTCAAGTTCTGTGTTCCATCAGCACCGGGCTACTTGTCGACTATCATGCTTGCAAAAGGCAAAAAAAAAGTCCAGCAAAGACGTCCAGCAAAGTAGGATGCGGCCGACACACTACAGACTCAAACCTCCGCGCCTGTAGGGCCTCACGTTTCCCCACCCAGCACCAGCGTGTGGCTGAAGCGGCCCGCGTCCTAGCAAAGGCACTTTCAGAGATACGTTCGGGCTGGGAGCTGCAGCTGCAGCACTCCAAGTGAACTCTGGCAGCACTCGCACAAAGCAGACTCAATAGCCCATGTCCCAAATCTGGTCTGCACCGCATGCGAGCCTCACGACGATTCGCAGCAGCTCATCTAGCCTCCATCTCAACAACTCTTCAACAAAATCAATGTCAGTACAAGGCAGACACATGGAATAGCAGCTGGGGATGCTGCGAGAAAGGCTCCGTGCTCCAAGCATGAATGCCATCCTCACCAAGCTTCAGAGAAGCCACCAGGTTTTCATGTTTAGGGTTAAGGGTACTCAGTAGGTTAGCGCCGCAAGAAGTTCAGGATGGAAGACCCCTGCAAGCGAGGTTGTACAAAAGGAATTCAGGGGTTCTTAGAACTTTTGTCTATCTGGGGCCCCAAGAGATGTACAAAGTCCCTAAATGGGCAATTTGGAGTCCTCGCACTGGAGCTTCAGGTGCGCCCTGAGCAGCTCCACACTCAAGAGTCAGGCGCTGGGGGGTCTTTCAAAACGAGGTATCCTTGTAACTCTGGGGATATGTAACACATAGGCATAGATAGCACACTGGAATATAAATGTCCAAGATCGCGTGGCCAGTGCTAAGGAGCACACAAGGAAATCTTGGGAAATGCACACTTGCGTTAAACAGAAGCTCTGCAATTGCACACAACAGGTGTTGCGGTGCCTGTAGTGGGAGCCGCTGGAACGGTGAAGCTCTTCACCAAGTGAGACGATAGGCTCGACCGACACAAGTTCTGGGCCTCACTATCTGCAAACAGGTTGCATGGCATGTCTGGTATCAGGTTGCATGAACAATCTGAACATGCAACTCATTAGGGTCCCAAATTTGCTGGTTTCACAGCCGTGAACACTCCTAGTGGGACTGCATGCCCGCCTCCAACATTGCAATCCACTTCTCGTGTTACAACTTTCCTGCCTGAATGCTGATGTTAAGCGGTCTGCTGCCTACAGTTAAACAAGTAGCAAAATAAGAGCCGTTTTCGGGGAGATCCCAAAATCAATCTTCGAGGATATATAATGGATGTAACTAAGTTGCAGGATGTTGCAGGACAAGGTCAGCAGCTCCCGCACCTGAATCCAAGCCATCCGTCTTCTGCAGACGACTCGTCCAATCCTGCCAGGGCCACACACGGTTCAGGGCTGATTTCATTTGACCCTTTTCCTCCAGTCAAGGGGTTGGGGTTCAGGGCTCACTCGCTGGAACCAACTCGCTCACGAGACAGGTGATGCTTCACACTTGCCATCTGCCTGCAGTGGTGATGTATCTTCTCAACTCTCCTGTTCGGATCAAGTAAAAAGCAAAAGGTTACATGACAGCCAATCTCACATAAGACCTAAAGAACATTATGGAAGCCTGTATCTGCCTGTACAATCTCGTTTGTCATCGCATCACCAACACCCAAGACTCCCTAAACTTTGGGAGCGCGGGGACGGCAGGATCAAAAAGGCCAGAAATCCCACCTTGAGTTTCGGTTAAATGGAACTCTTAAGAGCTTTACTTTCAAATCCTTCAAGGTTCATGAAAGCGCTTGCCCCATGATCACACATCCTAGCGCCTGAACCCTCAAAATTCAAAAACCGGCTAAACCCCAAACACCCCACGCCTTAAACCTATGAAGCACTCAATGGAGTTGTTTGGGGCTTAGGCCGCAGAAGCCTTGAGCTCCGCCCGTAGCCGACTGCGCTGCTTTTCCTGGCAAGACCAGTTTAGAGTGAGGGGCTCAGGCTGTAGAGTCGGGGACTGAAGTTCAGGTTGTCAAGCTTGGGGCTTGAGGTGAAATCATTACTGTTTGCCACTCGCTGCTGCTGCTGCTGCTGCTTGCAATGCTGCCGTGTCTTCTTCTGGCCCTACCTCAGGTTGGAATTTACCACAGCTTCTGTTGCCGGATACCAACATCAGTGCTAGTCGAACAATTCTCCCCTGAGTTCTAGTTCGTACTAGGCAACCTCCTGCCAACTGCCGGGGGGCTTCTTGCAGCAGACGAGATCTGCCAATGAATCTTCTTCTACATGTTGAAGTCAGACCACCGACAAGTTCAGAGACCCTTCACTGCCTGCGTATGAAAGCCACGTTCCCACGGACCCGAGAAACAATGCCAAATCCTCATTTTGGGATGCTTGAAGGAAGTGCTGGAAAGAGCTTTCATCAACCTTCGAACCAGAACAAGAAACCCTGCGTACTTTTGAAAACTACACATTGCTCCCTGTACAAGTCCTAGATTGGCTGTAGGTTCGCCTCGAAAGTTCAAATTCCATACGGCCTCTTCTAGGAAACTCCCATACAGAAGCTGGATGGGCGGCACCCATTGGCTGAGGAAGGTCGCAGTGCCGGAGCTCTCTACAAAGCGCCTTCCGCGGATGGTGCACCCCGGCTACCTTTCAAATCCCCTTACCCCTCACATTGAAGTTGAGGACCCCATGGTACTGAATGTGACCCCTCTAAATGGGGGGGAATACAGAGTGTGTTGGGGGCCATACATGCCCACCAAATGTTATCTGCAGGCTTCGTATGTCGCGCCATATGCGCTTCTACATGATTACTCAAAAAAACTCTCCACGGCCTTCTGAAACACAGTGCGCAACAAAAAAATGCATCATGAGTGCATGCAACAAAAACATCTTGACTGTATGAAATTGAAAGCCTTCCATCTTGATTCCCGTCCTTTCACAACGGTGTTCCAGGGGTTCCATGTATGCGGGAAACCAAGTGCTGGACATCCGCGTCCAAAATGCGATCTGCAATTTCATCTCAACAACGGACAAAAATCTCCCTCAGCTTTAACACTCCTCTAGAGAACCTCAACAGAAACTGTGGTTCGATCAACGTGTAACCATGAAAGATAAAAGGCGTCGCGATCTAAAATTGCCCCGAATCTCAACACAACCTTGAAAGCTTTGAAGGATCCACTGGAAACTCTTGAGTGGTAAGTGGTGCAAACAACGTAAAAATGCAAATGACGCTTCAGCATGTAAGCAGGGAAGAGCTGTGCCTGGCGCGGGCGCTTGGGCTGGCTACTCGGGGCGGCGTGTTGCAGGCCGCAGTGGTCTGGGATTGGCAGCTCAGAGTGCTGAAACTAAAAAGCACGCAAACTTGGGAGTAGACTGGTCCAAACACAGCCATTTCTAAAAACAGTCCGAATTCTGGCCAGCAGCTCGACTGCCCAGGGTAGAACTCCTGTGTTCAGGTCACAAGAGATGTCCGACGGCGCATGCACTAACATGCGAATGGGCCAAAAAATCACCCGTAGGTAGCTTGTCCCGCAAGACATACAAGGCTGGCAAAAGCTCAAACGTGATGTGCATCCATTCTCACAGTGCTTCGTTCATGCGTAGCGAACGCTTTCAGCAGTGTATGTGTTATATATATATATACTGCTAATGCCGCAATTAATGTTTACAAGAACCATGGTCCTTTACTGATGGCAAGACAATCCTTGGCACTGACACTGGCAAGAAATGTTTTGGCTGTTTTCAACCGTCTTCCTTGCAACGACCACAACTTTCAATATGAACACAATGTTACTAATGTCTTCGCCATCATGCAACATCCAACTCCAAAAAATGTTGCGCTGGCTATGTCCTGCGCCGATCCGTGGACTCCGTTCCAGTCCTGGCGACCAAACAACAGAACATCACACCTAGCACAGCACCACAAGAACAACGAGGCTTTGAGGCTGCCCAAGCATCCAAACGATAACAAATCAAGCTGATGCCGTGGCTATACGCGCCTGTATTTGTCAAAGATGCTTCGGAGATGTTTCTCCGGTGCTGGCGACATGTGGCACAGCAACAAACAATCAGGTTACACTCACCGCGAATCAGATGCTAAAAGCAAATGCCCTGCAAGATCGGTGCCAGCGGCCGCATCATTATGCTTATATACACTTAAATTTGACTAAGCTCATGCCAAATCAGCTGTTGCTGGGGGATGGCCTGCTTTGAAAAAATACGTAAGCTATACATCGAACTTTGCAATCGTTCACAACCATGTCGTCGCCATTTTCATGTGAAACAAAATTAGGTCATGAAACCGTGAAGCATGATCAGAAGCCACCCACATCCCAAACCCCCTCCTCATGAATTTCAGCTTTAGCAATAACAGCAAGGCGCATCCGTACCATGTCACAAAGCTTATGGCATCAGGGACAAGCGACACCAGCGTCGGAAACAGAGTGGTGCAAGTACAGCTGCTGGGAAAGCATGACGTCAAATGCTGGCACACGGTGTGCCATCTGTTCACATTCACGGCCGCAACATGAATTTGTACGACCGATTGCACAACAAAAAACAAAACAAAGCAGCTTATCGTCTTGCGCGCGGAAAATGTTTTTTTTACAGTTGTATGCCCCAAGCTTAATATGAAACTGCGCTTGACAATTGTGACGAATTCTGACACTAAGCAACAAAGTTGGCAAGGACGAACAGACGACAACACACCACACCAGACAACACGTCCGGAACATTGCTGCCTCAAAATGAAGCCGGAGCATCCATCCTAAGATACTTGCTGAGGTATGAAACCCAAACTTCAACAAACGCTGATGCAAAAACTGCAGCTTCTTATATGAAACGGGATCTACACTCCTTCTTGAAAAGCAACAAACTTGCCCCCAGCAAACGTGTCGCTGCAAGGCAGGGCAACGGGCAACTCCAGAGGCGCAAGGGACCCAAATCGAGGACAGAGCAGGGCTCAGCCCTAGCCAGGGCCAAAGACTGTCAAGCCGCAACCCAAAGTAGGCACCAACACAAACAAACCCAAACGCCCAGACACACGTCGTGCGCAAGGCGGATTTGCTAAGACCGCATATGGCTTTGCGACCGCACGCAGAGCCAACCCTTCAAGGTTTTTGGCTATGCCAAGGGCAAAAGGCCCACTCAAAAAACGTTTTTTATCTTTGAAACCCACGTGAAGCCACCTGCAAAATACCTTCAACAAAAGAAGATCACATTTTCTAGGAAGAGCATCCAGAATCAGTGAACGGCACAACAGACATCTACTCATGACAATTTCAAATTCCTTGATACAACACTGCGTTAGGGGGAAAACCGACGACCTTTGCATTACCCAAATTGTCTAACATCCCGACTTTTCTGGTGCGCAGGGTCTGCGCACTGGCCGGCGCCTTTCATGCCTACTCAGAAGCAAGCAACTTAAGGCAATCAGAAACCGGTTTTCTCAGTCTTTGGTTTGGCAAGATCGACGCACTGTGTTCTACACAATGCGCAACCACATATGTTTCATTCAGAAATTGCTCTGCCAAATTTCAATGGCATTCAGGATATGCAAAACATTTTTCATAAAGAAATATAGAGCATATATCGTATCTGAAAAATCGCATTGCAAACTAAGGACGCGTTTTTTTGCATGGTGGAATGCCGAGCTGTTGGATGCCATGCTGTGAAATGGGATGCAAGCAATCAAATGCACTCCAACATGATAGCTGCCGTGCAAAAGGACGTGGCAGCACCCGCCGCAACTCCCAGCCAGTGTATTAGTAGCAAGAAAAATCCTCACAGGGGCAAATCGCATGCACGGGTAACCCCCACTTTTCAAGGCATGGCAAAGCGCAGGCAGTCAGTGATGCCGCAGGTGCCAGTCCATCCGAAAAACTTCTGCGGGGAAAGGCCTACTTTAAAGGCTTGAAGGAAAGTGCCGTCACAAGTGGCCAATGTGCACCAGTTGAGGGCCTCACTGCAAAAGCGCTTTGGGAGGTTCCCCAAAGCAGTCTGCGGCCAGCAGGCCAAATGCGTACATCCAGGCACATATACCAAAGGGAGTCCAGCGACAGTCGGACGCGCCCAATCCTAACCCGAAACGCATGTATGATTATGTTAGCTGGACAAGAAATCAGACTTGCTGTTGCGTGGCCCGGCCAAGCGGGTTGCATCAAGCTGGACTGCATGGTGCTATGACACAAATGCAGCCAATGGAAGATGGAAACAAAACAACATTGCACATGTGGCCCCTGAGAGCCGCTTTTGTCGAACCAAGCTGGGATGGTGACGCTTATCCTCCCACTGAAAATGCAGCTTGCTGTGAGCAGGATGAACCCCATCTGCGCCAATGTCTCAAAACATGCACTTGCATGCTAAGCTAATGCTGGCATAGATGGGACCAACCTCTTAGAGGCAGAAAAGCTCAAGGTCACAAAGAACCAAACCAGCGACCCTGCCGAATCCTGAAGTTAAATCCCCAACACCAATGTGATCGCCTTGGACACATGCCTCTACGGCACAGGCATGTTTCATCCAACGAGGCGGCCTGAGCGGTCTGTGCATCGGTGGGAGTCCACACCAGCGAAGCCAGAAATGTGGTCTTGGATACTCTTGAGAAGCGCCGCTTTGAGGAGGCTGGATCCGTTACGCGCATCCAGACGAGTTGCCTCAAATTTTGCGCGCACGGCGTCAGCCTTGGACTTGACGTCTGCATTGCGCACGCCGAGGAGCTTTCCCCCAACAGGGAGCGCAGTGCCTGGAGGGTCTTTGAGCACGACTGCGTCGTCCGAAGGCAAGGAACTCTTGCCAAGACTCCGGTGTTTTGAGAGGTGGCTAAACGGCGTCCCAACCCAGTCGGCGCAAAGGCTACACAACCACAACCTGAGGAGCTTGTCAAGCTGAGTCACGCACTGAAGAAAGCCCAGAAGCCCTTGCATAGGAAAAGGTATGTGAGAAAGCATGAAAGCGCCAGCCTATCCAAGTGATGGTGGTATTAACTTTCCTCAGGAAACTGGTATCTTACACACCTGGAACGATCCCAAAGTGATGTCTGATGTCTGCTCCAAGCGCGGTCACAAGCGAAGGTTGTGTTTGGAAAATGTCATCAACGTGTGCGAATATGTTGAAAAACAACCCAAACTAAGTTCTCAAACAAAGCTGGCACACTTACACTTTTTCTCTGAACTGCTGAAGGTCTCGAGCCTCTCCATGGGCAACATGCACACTTGTGTTTTCCTGGTAAGGAAACTCATGCAACTGACATTCCTATACTGAGATCCTTCACATGTGCGCTCTGCATACTCCTGACAGAAAATGTTTTTGCCTCAAAAGTACCTGGAACGAATTGTTCCTGATACTTCAGGCGTGGAAGGCCTACTTCTGCTATCTACATTCCAGTGAAATTGAGCCCAGACTACTTTACTCTCTTACAATTCCTGGGACTGGCTTTAGAGTCCTGATCTCCTGGGGTGAGCGAGTCCAGGCTGGCACAGCCTACGTTAGTTTCCGAGGGCCTTTA